GCAGGTATAAGCCAAAAAGATGCAGAGATACAGGTCTTCAAGACATTACTATACTCTGGCAAGAAAAAATGTTTAACTATTTTAATGCTGTTTTTATCTCCTTTCCACTTCCAGTATGTTAAAATGGTTATAATTTACAATCAGACAGCCTTGGCCCTCTTTTAAATGAAAATGTATTTTGTGAACACTAATGGGCATTTGCTGACCTAATCCTAAACTTTCGACAGCATAATTACTAAGGGTTAGCCAATGTCTGATTTAAAGACCTTGTAGCAGTAAATGTCTGTTTAATGACACTCTTATCAGGAATGTAAAATATTTATTGAATCCTCTTGATTAATCGTTTTTCTTTGTACATGTATCACATATAATTCTGCCTTAAGACTTAAGCTGCCTTCAGCTGAATTAGTCAGATAATATATTATAAAACATACCCTGAAGAGTAGTACACATTACTAAGGATTTCTGACAATTTTAATTTTATTGGCTTTATTAATATAATAATATTGAACTTATATAGTTCCAAGAGTTTGCCCACTATTTTACAAAATAAAGGGAGACAATATAATTACAATACAATGCAAAACAAGAGAGTTAGGAGGGCCCTGTTCATGTGAGATTACAATTTACAAGGAGGAGGCAAGTGACACAAGGTAGTAACTTTTGATGCACTAGTAAATTGATTCTTCGATGTACTAGACAACAACATCAAATTAGACAATTAACAACAACTATTGGTACCTACTTCAAGCTGATCCACAGGTAGTCAAATGTATTATTGATCATACAGAGAAATAGATTGATTCGAGATGACCTTGTACATCACTTTGATCGAATGGGGGGACATGACGGATGCAAATTTTTTAGCACATGTACAGTAAATATGGCGGCTGCACTTACTGCTAATTTATATTGCTAGGAAATTATATTTACTGCCAAAGGGTGAGACTCATTTAACCAAATATTTTAACTGTCAAGAATGTTGGTATCATATATTTAATGATATATGAATGTGGCAGCTACTATGTGGGAAAGACAAAAAGCCATTTTTGGCAATTTTTCTATGACCACATATCAGCTATCAAAGGAGGTGACATAATGTCACCTATTGGAAGACACGGAACTTGGAAAAACAACATAAATCCACGTTCTGTCAAATTTTTTGCTTTGGAAAGAATGCACCCTAACATATGGGGGGTGAATGGGACTGCCTTATTTTGCAAAGTGAGGATAGATGGATCTATCGTTTAGAATTACCTCACTTTCTGGCCTTAATAATGTATTGAGCTACAAACCTTTTTTATAGCTATATCAAATTAGTTGAGCTGTTGATCTTCTTCTAATTTCTTTTTTGTCTTGTTTCTGTTTTGGTATGGTTCTGTTTGTTTTTGTGGGATATTGTTAGCCCTTTGGGTAATATGTAAATTTTTTTCTAATTTTGGTGGTGATATATTAGACAGAGGATACCCTTTTTTTATACAAGGTAAACGTTTATGTAATCTGTCTTGATGTATCTAATATATGTCCTATTCAAGTATAGTTAATTTCACTACTAATTCTTGGATAAGGACCATAGAAAGGTGTGAATACATTTGATTTCTCATTTTTCTGATACCTATACTGTATTGGAATGGCTGATTTCTTTTGGAAATATAGACATTACCTTATTCACAAATCACCTTATTTTTCATTATTGCAAACTTTAGTTGAGTGGGATGCAATACCCAACTTTGTTGAATAGATTTTGGTGTGTGGAAATATACCCTTGATAATATTTCCATTGATATAAACCAAATTTTTCTTTGTATCTTAAATGACCCAGGTTTTACCTTGTGCTGAATGTACAGTTCAAGGAAATGTGATGGAGAACCTCATCCATTGTTGGGTAATTAGGGTAAACAGACTGGACTGGAGTTAAACCTCAGTATTCAATAGCATATTGTCAGCTCAAGAAGTCTTGTTTGGTCATCACACACTTCCCAAGGTTTTGGGAGAGATAAGACAATGAGGATTTCCTCTCACCATTGTCACTTTCAGACCTCCTATATGCTCACCTGCAGACATCCAAATAGTGGTGTTTGACTCTCATTGTCTCTTAGACCAGTTTCTTCCACTCATTGTGTGTGTGGTAACTTTTTGGAAGGTCACTTGAAATTAACCGAGGATGTTAACCCATGACAGTCAGCTAGGATTCCCAATTTTGGGATAATATAAATTTTTTAATAAACAGTCCCAAAAGTCATCACATATCCCCCTTTTTTGAGATTCGAACACGTATAGATAGGTGTATGTATCACAAATCGTGGGTGTGACTTTTGATTAAAGTGACCGTTGATCTTTTCCGGAAACATCAAAGTTCTTCACTGATAAGTTAGCATTCTTAAGAGTCATTCAGATGGTGTGATTGGGTAAAAGATAATTGTACCGATGGTACTTTTGGAATTAAGTAGTCTTTTAATGATGAAATGGCAGCGGGCAATGCTGGGTTTATCTGTGAATTGAATTTGGGCGCTTCTCGGATGAACATTCCTGACGACAATTCTGGTTTTCCGATGAGGCCGGCCTGGCCTGGTGGGCACACCCACATCAGGGTCCATAGGATCCTCCGCACGACGGGTCTTTTGAGACGGTCTCGTAGGTGGGTTTCTTCCTCTGGACTGGCCCTTAGTGGTCTGGGACGATCGCTGGCAGTCTGGTCTTTCCCACAGGATATCAGGTAGCTACCTGAGCTTCCTTCTAGGGTTTGGTCATTGACACCTCCGATCGATGTTATGTATGAGATAACAGTTATACCCTCTGTATTTGATGTTTTAATATTTGTACTAATAAAATTATATATTTTTACATACATGACATTGTGGTACCATTAAAAGTCCTATAGTTTCCTTTTTGTTAGGGCTGGTTTGTTTGGATATTATTGAATAAGAATGTAGGTACCAGACTACACATTTTATATTGCCAATGGTTTTGTATCTGAGTCGTTTCTCCCTTTACTTGTTTTTAGGGACACTGTCCCCTTCTGCAGTTGCATCAGCCAATCAGTGTCCTCCTCACGGCTTAATCCAGACCTAGCAAATATGGCTTCCCCCTGTACCTGAAGACACTCCAGAGCAGTGTTTCTCATCCTTTTTGCCTTCGGGGAACCATTGGCAACAGCTTTGAGATTTCTGCACAAATGCTCAATTCTGGGTCGAACATGAGATAAACACACATGAATTTCATCTTCAACTGAAATTAAATGATTTCGCTCCTTGCTCTTGATGCTTGTTAAACAGGAAAAAGCTTGCTCACACATGTAGGAAGTAGAAAACTGCAGCAACACATTTAAAGCATTTTTGTAAATGGCAGGATACTCTTTGGCTGAAATCCAGAATTTGTCCAAGGATACATCACCAAACCTTATCCTGAGGGTATGGTCAGACTGAAGATCACAAATTTCTTCCTGTTCTTTTAAACTCAGCTTCTCTGACTGAACAGAAGACTCAGAGAAAGGGCTCCTCACCCAGTCATACATTTATGTTGAAAGAGAAGGAAAATAACATTCAGTTTTGCTCTGCAGTACATCCAAGTGGCTTTCAACTAGACTTGAAACTTGCTGGTTTCCTTCCTCACTTCCAAGGCCAAGCAACATAGGAAACATCTCCAGATTTTCTTTAACAATATGGCTTTTCCAAAGATTCAATTTTCTTTTAAATCCAAGTACCTTGACCAGAACATAGCTCCGTGAGGCTGCCTGTATTGGAAAGCTGCAAAGACCTTGCCCTCATGGACTAAATTCAAAGGTCCCGTGAAGAAGGCAGACATCCTGGGAAACCTGTGCGGTCCTTGCCGGGTCCAAGATGCGGGTGGTGACGGCTGCAGGCCTGGGCGGGAGGAGCCAGGTGTCGGGGAGCGTGTGCCGGAGCCCAGACGGAACAGGAACTGAGCCCGGGGTGGACTGGTGGGCTTGCAGCACGTGGGAAACCTGAAGAACCCGGGGATCAGTGAGCAGAAGGTGGTGGCCAATGAGGAGCACTGGGGTGATCAATGGACCAGTGACCGATCAGCCATGTTAAAGCTCCTGGATGCCCGTGTGTTGGGAGAGTGGGGTTCGGAGGACAAGGAGGGGGTCAAGCACAGAAGGAGTCTCCCCCCTATTCCCCATCCTACACCCAGGGCAACTTCCTTGGGAGTCTGGGGTCCCTGTAATTATCCACAGGGATTCACCCAAAGGCCCCCCCCCCCCCCCCCACAGAATCCAGGAAATAAGGATCAGAGACTCTGTAGAGTATTGGAGAATGCAGTCCCTGCACCATGGAGCTCAGTCGGGAATGGTGAGTAGCCATGTCTCATGGCTGCACATTTAAAGTAAATTTTAAAACACAGGCCCGGCTGTGATGGGGGGGAGGGATAGGGGGAATTTCAACGCAGCCGGGTGCCTGGGGGCCAAACGTGGTCAAACTCCAATAAACCAGTGTTACCAACTAGGGATCGGGGTGGGCGTGCGTGTTTCAAGTCTCACACCAAAATAGGAATCACGAGTGGAAATATTCCACGACAGATTCCAGGGCAACTTGTAGGCCATGGTGGTTTTAGGGGTAAGATTAATAGGGTGAAGGGAGGGTGGGAAGGGGAGGTGTGGGCAGATGGACAGAGGGTGGGGGGGGGGAGGATGGTGGGGGGTTGTTGTAGGTTGGGGGGAGAATGTCCATGTCTTAGGTGGCCTATAGTTATGTTTCCTCTTGGGGAAATCTGGTAGAGCAGTGAAATAGCTTTAGAAATAAGCCTGATTAAGTTTACGACCTATAACATGAAAGGATTAAACTCCCCGTCAAAAAGACACAAGATACTTAGGGAATTCTACCAATATTCCATAGATGTAGTGTCTTTACAAGAGACACACATAACCCATGATACAAATGTTAAGCTAAATGCAAAGTATTATCCACTGTGATACTAAGCTTACTCACTTATAAAAAGGGCTAAAGGAGTAGCAATTGGGTTTTAAAAAAATATCAGTTTCACCTTGGAGAGGAGATTGGAGGACCCAGAGGGTAGGTTTTTATTCCTGAGGGAAAATAACAAGGATTAACTTATCTGCATCTATCTCTGCAAGGGCACAAATTCTACTTTTTTTTTCTATGTGCATAGGCACAGTACAATGTGGAGGTCATCAGGGCACAGTACAATGTGGAGGACATCGGGGCACAGTACAATGTGGAGGACATCGGGGCACAGTACAATGTGGAGGACATCGGGGCACAGTACAATGTGGAGGACATCGGGGACACAGTACAATGTGGAGGACATCGGGGCACAGTACAATGCGGAGGTCATCGGGGCACAGTACAATGTGGAGGTCATCAGGGCACAGTACAATGAGGAGGTCATCAGGGCACAGTACAATGTGGAAGTCATCAGGGCACAGTACAATGTGGAGGTCATCAGGGCACAGTACAATGTGTGTCCTATTCACAGCACAACAATGGTATCATGTTTTCTGCACAGAGATCTGCAACACATATGCAGTTTTCTGATTAAAAAAGCAAGAAAAAAAATAAAAGCAGTGTTATAGTGTGAACAGGGCACATAGAAGACAAATGAGTTGATTTACTAAAACTGGAGAGTGAAAAATTTGGTGCAGCTCTGCACTGAGACCAATCAGCTTTCAGGTTTTTTCTCAAAACGTAATTGAACAAGCTGAAGGTAGAAACTGATTGGCTACCATGCACAGCTGCACCAGATTTTGCACTCTCCAGTTTTACTAAACCAACCTCAAAGTGTCATTGCATTGAGCAATCCCCCCCACTGTGTAGCATAGTGCTTACAAAAGGTTCTTGCTGTTCCATCAAAACTGTGTGCGCTCGTGGTTTGGAAGTACTGCTTCCTGTAGATAGGTTTCAGCCAAGTCTTGAAGCTGCAGTGTCGTCCTCTGCTTTGTAACACAGTCAGCCCTGCTGAAAGTAAAAGTTGGGCTATGTTGGTAAAGTCACAGGGAGTCACCAAGGCAGAGCATAGGGGGTCAGTACAGTGCAGAAAAGGTTTCCCCATAGTAGTACTTACAAGAGTTCTTGTTGTTCCGTCAACTGTGTGCACTTCTGGTTTGGAACTACTCTTTCCCATAGGTAGATTTCAGCCAAGTCCTGATGTTGCAGTGTCATCACATTTTGTAACACAATCAGCCCTGCAGAATGTGGTGGAACATTGGTCATGTTCAAAGGACAGAAGGCACAGTGCAGTGGGGAGGTCACCAGGGCACAGTACAATGTGGAGAGGTGGGTATTGTTGAGGGTGGAGAAGTGGCGGGGAGGGTATTGTTGAGGGTGGAGTGGTGGGGAGGGTATTGTTGAGGTTGGAGAGAGGCAGAAAAGGGGGTAATTGAAGTTGGAGAGGGTATAGATCACAATCACTGGCCTGCACTACAACATCCAGCAGCCCCACCCCCTCCAAGAAGTTCTGCAGCAGCCAAAGGAAAGGAAAGTTGTCAGAAGAGGGGGTAGGAGAGGAGCATGGCTCAGGGAAGGACACACTTTGTAGAACCTAGTTATCCAGCAGCTGCCCACAGAGGAGCCCAGGGAGGGGGGGGGGGGGGGGGCACAGCATGTCTCCAAGGAAGAATGCACTCCTTAGCTCAGAGGGAGGACAGGGCCAGTCTGGGAGGGGACACTGCATGGAGTCTAGACACTCAGCCAATGGCATGTACAAAAGTTCCAAAACGCAAAATGCACTTATCAATGCAGGCTGAATGGGTTCAAGAGGACTGATGGACCTGCCAGCCCTCAAGCTCTTACGTCCCAATCCAGCCATTGGCCATGTGCTCCGATGGTTCTCTGCCCCTCCTGCAGTCTGCATTACTGCAGCTATAGGACTCTGGCTGTGCTGTGGCAAATGCAGAGTGCAGGGGGGACAGAGAGGTGCTGGAGCACACTGCACAGTGCATGGGGGAGGCAGACAGCCTCTAGCTCTGGTTGGAGCTCACCTTCCAATTGAGCCACGTGTTCCTGCTCAGTCAGCGCTGTCATATACAAGCCACCTCCTTCTTCAGCTCCCGCTCTCTGCACTCCTTTCTGTTCCAGCCCCTGACTTTATAGGAGCTGGAACTATAGAGGAATCATTCATGCATGCTGACAATACTAACTGTCAGAGCTCCTTATGCACAGCATTGAAAATACATTTGGGTGTATACATTCGCCATAATGTAGATTTGCCACAAAATCCCTGAGGACTTCTTGTGGAACCCGGTTGAGAAACACTGCTCCAGAGATTAGCATTGCAAAGTGGTATCTTTAAAGATGGCTGCTGTACTTCTGCATTAATGAATATTCAGTTTAACCCTGTCCACACTGCAGAAGGATAATACATCAGCAACAAAGGAAGAAGTTCCATAGCAGTTATCATCTACAGTCCAGGTTATATAGGTAATCTCTACAGGAGCCTGGAGTTGTCAGAAAATTGTCTAAAAAATTTTTAATTATTATTAATCACTTGCCCTCCAGAGGATCAGGCCATTTTTTGCGATATGGCTCTGTGTTAAATTGCGTGTGGTCATGTAATGCTGCACCCATATGAAATTTACTTCCTTTTTTCCCCACAAATAGAGTTTTTTTTGTGCTATAAATAACAAAAACCCGACAATTTTGAGAAAAAAATACAATATTTTTAACTTTTTGCTATTAAATGTGTCTAGTAAAAAAAAATTTAAAAAATCTAATTTTGGCATAAATTTAGGCCAAAATGTGTTCTGCTACATGTCTTTGCTAAAAAAAAAAAATCCCAATATGTGTAAAGTAAGTGGTTTATGTGAAAGTTATTGCATTTACAAATGGTGATATATATACTGGAAATTTTTAATTTGTACTAGCAATGGTGGCGATCAGCAACTTATAGCGGGACTGCAGCAGGCATTCTGACACTGGGGGGGAACTGACTTGGTGTTACTGACATCCCCAGTGACACCAATACAGTGATCAGTGCTAATAAAAAGAACTGACACTGTACTAATGGCACTGGGCAGGAAGGGGTTAGCATGTGGGGCAATCAAAGGTTAAGTGTGCTGTTTTACTATGAGGCTGTGTGTCACTGCAAGTATACTGCTTTGTATAGCTTTGCTATGCAGAGTCATACAAAGCAGTGTGCAGGAGCTGACAGGGGAGAGATCTGTGTTTTATACTCAGGTCTCTCCCCCATCAGAGATACTCTGCGATCACTGGGTGCCGGCCAGAAATCATCGTCTGGGACTCAATGATTCACAGCTGAGGCCACGATTTTGCGCACCCGTTTGACCCTGTAGAAATATTTCTGCTATAGGGTGGCGCAGAAGCAGTTAATTTAAAGGATAAGCCTACCTTTCATAACAATTGACATGTTACACCCATATTCAGATAAACTGACAGGTCTGCAGGAGACCTGCTTGGCACCAGTAATCTGCTGATCACTGGTGCAATGGTTTACAGGCTCCTGCAACAAAAAATAATAAATGCACAATTTTTTTCCCATGCAAAAAACATGTGCATTTATTATTTTTTAGCAAAAGGTGAACTTATCATTTAAATATTTCTACAATAGTTTTGCAGTATGTATCTCGAAATTCCCTATTAAGATATAAAACATGTTACTTTTCATCATATGGTTTGTTGAAATTTAATCTTTATAAAAGCTTGCTTTAAAAGCAAATTAGCAGAGGTAGCAATGCTTCTGGGTCCATTGCCTGGGAAGTTAAAATCCTGTTCACTGCCTCCTGGTTCATCAGTACCAGTACAAACTTTCTAGTTTGCATTGAGATTGAAAAGCTTGTTAAGATCCAACATGCAGACACTGAAGTTAGTAAATTTACATAAAAAATCTTACTGAATAGGAGCAAAAATCAGTCTAACCAGTAGCTTAATACACACTGCATCCCCTTTGGATCCTGGTCTAAGTGAAAAATGCCACAGCTGATCCTGCCATAACAGAAGGAGCAAAAAAATGCTTCACTTGGAAAAGGTGCTCTGAAGTAAAACATCTTACCTGCCTTTACATAAAGTTACCTTTCATGGTCAGCTTGCCTTGGATCCTCAGACTAGTGAAAGGATGAGAAGTATCTGACTTTAAAGATATTCTTTAGAATGTATTGGCTAGGTCTGGCTGCTAATATCTCATATTATCCAGGCTCAAGGGTGTATGCAGACACTCTCAGAGCCAAGGACCCACTCTGGATTGTTGGGTGTCCAGGTTGGATGACTGTCCAGAACTTGCCCCATAATGCAAACCAGCTGCTTCTGCTGCCATGTGACAAGTGTGCTTTCATAAAGAGCATTTCCGGGCAGTGGGAGAGATAAAATAATCTGCCTGTTCCCTGACACAGCTGACCCAGCTAATTTTCATAAAAATTAACCAGTCCTGGATCAGCTGGGAATGCAAAACCCCGTACAGCTGCTGCTAATGAAAATATTTTTTCTTTGCATCTGACCCCCAAAGCATTATTAATACTTTACAGCACTGTCATCTTCTGTCACTGTTGCGGACCTGTCACAATTTCCATCTCTTTCCCATTACCATATACTGTCACTATTATCCATCTTTCTTCTATCACTACTGGGCCATGACAATATGTAACCATGTCCATTGGTTTGGACCTATTCTAACCATTGCTGGCCTTTTAGCATTACACTCTAATGCTGCTTCTATTGCCCTATTCCAGTGCATCAGCAGTACCACACAAAGTTTCCACAACTGACCACCTGCTGCAAAATTCAATAATGGTTCTGCAAAAACTGGTCCCACATCTGCAAAACCTGCTCTGCAGGGTCAGTCCTTCCTTTGTGGTGTATCCTAAAGATCAGTGCAACTGGTCCTCAGCTGTAAATGTATAGTCTTTAGCATAGAGGGTAAATCCATGCTTAGTATCACTTAGTTTTCAGCCTATGCTACTGCTCTGGAACTCAATATTTGTGGCTATTGTCTTTCTGCAATAATATACTTACGACTGTCATTTCCTCATTAAAAACCTGTTGTGTGGTCTCTCTCCCCATTACACTGAAATACCGCAATAAAAGTGCTTAAATGCCTTACATAGTCAGTAAAAATATTTATGCTGAGTTTTGTGGTTTTTGTTGAAAATTAAGACACTCTAATGTTGATGCTTGAATTAAATTCTTCCCTGGTATATCTCCTGTTCAAAAGCATTTAATTCTTTTTCAACTACTGTGTATAGAGTTAGTAAATATTGGAGCAGTCTTTTCTGTGATAAAAAATCCTGTTGCAGAATGCAGTCCTACCAAAAGTGCTTAAATACTTTGCATTGTTTTGCTTCCTTCCATGCTAATATGGAATGTGGTTTAGTTTTAATGGGGGGCAATTCAACCTAGATTTTTGATTTGTGGGACTAATTCATTGTAGATTACGGAAATTGCAAACTTTAATCCAAGCCATTTTGAAGTTCACAGTAGGAGGCAAATCGTGAAAATC